CAAATCACAAAAAAAATCAAATCAAATCACAAATATTTTTATGCTATCTAACTACAATCATATTTTTTTCATAAATAATTGTAAAGAAAAACTATTAAAACAATAAATAAAATCTTAAATCACATTAAAAAAAAAGTTTCATTGAACAAAGTACAATCACATCACATTTTTTCCATAATAAAAAAATAAATAAATGAAAAAAAGAACCATTGAACTAACTATAATCACATTTTCTTTCTTTGTGAATGTTTATATTTATCTAACATCAATCATATTAAAAATAAAATTAAAAAGATTAAATAACATTAAAAAAAAACATTGAACTAACTACGACAATTATATTAAAAAAAAGAGTCATTGAAAAAATTACAGTCGCATCACATTTTTCCCATAATAAAATAAATAAATGAAAAAAAATAGGACAAGGGGTACCTGCTGTGCTTTGTGCTGTGCGTGCCAAACGACACATCTTCTTATTCTTCCATTTTTTTTATTTTTTTGGTTTAAAACGAAGCAAAATAAAATTTTACAAAACTTTATAGACATTTATTGTAATAAGAAGAAATATCTACTTGCATATTTTTTATTTTATTTTATTTTTGAAAATTCACATGAATTGAAATTTATTATTTATTGAGTATTACATTTTTAATGTTTTTAAAAATTAAATGAGACTAGTTATATTTTATTTGACATTGATATTTATCAGAGTATATTGGTTGATTTTTCAACAAATCAATAAATAATATGTAATAATACACATCGTTGCCAGTAAATTTAACAGTAATTTTTTAAGGATTTTATGATTTTTTTTTATTGATTTGTCTGAATGAATACAATATTATTGTTGTTGTTGTTGTTATTATTATTATTATTTGAAGAAATTATAAAAAAATAAAAATAAAATTCAGTTAGTGATCCTTGTAATGAAATAAATTACGAATTTTTAATTTTATCAATTTAAACTTTAAAATTTTGATTTGTTTTTAATCTCAACAATTCATCTATTTTTGTTAGGTAAAACTCACAATTTTTTTTTTTTAGTCATTAAACTCAATATAAATATACATAAAATGTCTAAAATATATATTTTTTTATCAATTTACCTAACGAAAATAGGTCAATAGTTTAAATTAAAAACAAATAAAAAATTGAAGTTTAAATTAATAAAATTAAAAACTCATTATTTCTTTTGTTACAAAGACCAAATTTTGAGATTTTTTTATTTTTTATTTTTATAATTTTCCCTTATAATTTTTGTTAATTTTTCTTAAAGTAATGTAATATTGACAGGTATGCTCAAATCAGAAAGTAACCAATAGCAGTACACACCAACAAAAAAACAAAAGAAAGAAATATTATGTTGAAAAAAAAAAAAACAAAACGCACAAAATTGTGCCGTTTTACCGCACAACAGTACCTGCTGTACAGCAGGCACCCCTTTCCCAAAAAAATAACTATTAAACTAACTATAGTCACATTAAAAAAAAAAAAGAATTATTCAATTAATTATAATCACATTTTTCTTTTTGTGAGGGTTTATATTTATCTAACTTCAATCATATTAAAAATCAAATTATAATTTTTTATTCGCTAGACAAATCATAAATATTTTTATGCGCTATCTAACTACAATATTAAAACAGTAAACGAAAGAAAAAGTCAAGAAGGAGAAAACAAAAAAAAGACTTATTGTTTGCATACGTGGTCACTGAAGTTGAAAGTGTAAAAGTGAGAAGTCAAGAATGAGAAAATAAAAAGGAGACTTACTGTTTGCCGTAGGTATGTGAAAAGTTAAAAAGAGTGTGTGTATTGGAGAACTTAAAAAGACTTGGAAGAATTTAATAAGTGCTAAGTTTTTTTTAAAAAAAAAAAAATTCAAAGAAATTAAGATTAAGATATTGGAACTCCCACAAAACTTGTGGGTGAGAGATAGATATAAATAAATAGATAGATATAGATATAAATATTTATATTTGTTTTAAATAACATTAAAAAAAAACCATTGAAGTAACTACAACAATCATATTAAAAAAAAGAATCATTGAACAAAGTACAATCACATCACATTTTTCACATAATAAAATAAATAAATGAAAAAAAAGAACTATTAAACTAACTACAATCACATTAAAAAAAAGAATCATTCAACTAATTATAATCATATTTTTCTCTTTGTGAGGGTTTATATTTATCTAACTTCAATCATATTAAAAAATTAAATTTTAATTTTTTATTCGCTAGACAAATTACAAATATTTTTATGCGCTATCTAACTATAATATTAAAACAGTAAACAAAAGGAAAAGTCAAGAAGGAGAAAACAAAAAAAATACTTACTATTTGCATACGTGGTCACTGAAGTTGAAAGTGTTGAAGTGAAAAGTAAAAAATGAGAAAATAAAAAGGAGACTTACTATTTGCAGTAGGTATGTGAAAAGTTAAAAAGAGTGTGTGTATTGGAGAAGTTAAAAAGACTTGGAAGAATTTAATAGGTGCTAAATTTTTTTTTTAAAAAAAATAAAGAAATTAAGAAATTAAGGTTCAGATATTGGAACTCCCACAAAACTTGTAGGTTAGAGATAGATATAAATAAATAGATAGATATAGATATAAATATTTATATTTGTTTTAAATTTTCTTAATATACAAATTATTTGTTTTTGGAAAAGGTAATGCAGTAATTATGAGAGAAGTCAAAAGGTCTAAATAGATAGATACAGATATAGATATTTATATTTGTTTTAAATTTTTTTTAATATGCAAATTATTTGTTTTGGAAAAGGTACTGCAGTTATTATAAGAGAAGTTAAAAAGTCTTGTGGGTTGAGAGAAGTTAATAAATGTTAAGGTTAATTTTTTTTAAAAAAAAACAAAAAATTAGAAAATTAGGATTGACATATTGAAACTCCCACAGGCCTTGGGGGTTAAAAAACCCATTTTTCTTAATATATAGTATAGATATATATAGATATATATCTATATAATAAAGCAGAAAAGATTTTGAAAATGTGTTAGACACAATTGTCCCACTAGGACATTTCAAAGGTCAGGATTCATTTGTGTATTCACATGGATGGCTCAGATAACCCCCTTAATTTTATATCAATCCTAAATATATACATTACCGCCCAAACATTATGCCTCCTCCTTACCCACGTCTCCCCCACCCTTCTATCTTTATCTCTCTGATCTCCAGCCAAATCACGTCTCCCCTCCATCCCTCTTTATCTCTCTCTCTCTCTCCCTGTTCTTCTTCTTCCCGAAACTGCTCTCCTTCAACCACAGATTCGGTTTCGTCTCCATCCCTATATTCAGTTCCGTCTAGCTGTGCTTCAACCGCTCAGGTATGGCAATCTCTATCACAACTGTTCTTCTCACCCTTTAGAATCAGAATCACAATAGTTCTGAATCTTTTTATTTTCATCATTTCAGATTTCTGAGGTTACGATTTCAGAGGTTGCGATTTCATCGCTCAGGTATGGCAATCTCTATCACAACTGTTCTTCTCACCCTTTAGAATCAGAATCACAATAGTTCTGAATCTTTTTATTTTCATCATTTCAGATTTCTGAGGTTACGATTTCAGAGGTTGCGATTTCATCGCTCAGGTATGGCAATCTCTATCACAACTGTTACTCTTTTTATATGAACATTGTTCATAGTTCTGATCATAGTTCAGAGGTTGCGATTTCATAGTTCTGAATCTTTTTATTTTCATCATTTCAGATTTCTGAGGTTACGATTTCAGAGGTTGCGATTTCATCGCTCAGGTATGGCAATCTCTATCACAACTGTTACTCTTTTTATATGAACATTGTTCATAGTTCTGATCATAGTTCAGAGGTTGCGATTTCATAGTTCTGAATCTTTTTATTTTCATCATTTCAGATTTCTGAGGTTACGATTTCAGAGGTTGCGATTTCATCGCTCAGGTATGGCAATCTCTATCACAACTGTTACTCTTTTTATATGAACATTGTTCATAGTTCTGATCATAGTTCAGAGGTTGCGATTTCATAGTTCTGAATCTTTTTATTTTCATCATTTCAGATTTCTGAGGTTACGATTTCAGAGGTTGCGATTTCATCGCTCAGGTATGGCAATCTCTATCACAACTGTTACTCTTTTTATATGAACATTGTTCATAGTTCTGATCATAGTTCAGAGGTTGCGATTTCATAGTTCTGAATCTTTTTATTTTCATCATTTCAGATTTCTGAGGTTACGATTTCAGAGGTTGCGATTTCATCGCTCAGGTATGGCAATCTCTATCACAACTGTTACTCTTTTTATATGAACATTGTTCATAGTTCTGATCATAGTTCAGAGGTTGCGATTTCATAGTTCTGAATCTTTTTATTTTCATCATTTCAGATTTCTGAGGTTACGATTTCAGAGGTTGCGATTTCATCGCTCAGGTATGGCAATCTCTATCACAACTGTTACTCTTTTTATATGAACATTGTTCATAGTTCTGATCATAGTTCAGAGGTTGCGATTTCATAGTTCTGAATCTTTTTATTTTCATCATTTCAGATTTCTGAGGTTACGATTTCAGAGGTTGCGATTTCATCGCTCAGGTATGGCAATCTCTATCACAACTGTTACTCTTTTTATATGAACATTGTTCATAGTTCTGATCATAGTTCAGAGGTTGCGATTTCATAGTTCTGAATCTTTTTATTTTCATCATTTCAGATTTCTGAGGTTACGATTTCAGAGGTTGCGATTTCATCGCTCAGGTATGGCAATCTCTATCACAACTGTTACTCTTACAACTTAATAATGGGAGTCAAATTCATTGTTCAAAACAAGAATAATAGCATATTTCAGTTGATAGTTCTGATTAATTCTTGCTTCAGTTCTTGCTTTTAGATTTTCTGATTATCTGAAAATCACCAAGTCGACCATTTTTTTCTTGAAAGGCTTGCGGGGATACCAGAAAACAGAGTTTCTGCAAAGCATTACGGTTAATTTTCAGGTTAAATTCTTTCAGGTTAAATTCTAATCTCAGCAGCAGTATGAGCAAGAGATCGATACTCGGCCTCAGTCGAAGAGCGGGACACGGTTGGTTGCTTCTTAGCTGACCAAGAGACAAGATTGCTACCCAGAAAAATGCAGTAGCCGGAAGTGGATTTACGGTCAAGGAGATCACCAGCCCAATTGGAATCAGAGAATGCATGAACATCAAAAGAACTAGGAGAATAAGATAAACCATGAGTAAGAGTGCCTTTGACAAACCGAAGCAATCTTTTCACAGCAGCAAAATGTCCAACAGTGGGTGAATGCATATGTTGGCAAGACTGATTGACAGCAAAGGAAATGTCGGGTCGAGTAATGGTGAGATACTGAAGAGCCCCAACCAAACTACGATAAAGAGCAGGATCAGAAAATGACTGAGCAGCATTTGGAGGAGGAGTGGGCTTAATAGAGATGAGAGAGGAGCATGGCTTACAGTCAGCGAGACCGGCTTTTTGGAGAATGTCTTGAGCATATTTAGTTTGAGACAAAACATAGCCTGCAGCAGTGGTGGTGATAGAAATACCAAGGAAGTAAGAGAGGTTGCCGAGTTCTTTCATGGAAAAAGCTTTGTGCATATGAGAGATAAGGGACTAAATATGAGAAGGATTATTGCCAGTAAGCAATATGTCATCAACATAGACTAAAAGAATAGTAATATTGGAGCCCAATTTCTGAATAAATAAGGAAGAGTCACACTTGCTGTTGGAAAATCCTTGAGAGAGTAGATAGGTGGAAAATGTGGAGTACCAGGCTCGGGGGGCCTGTTTGAGCCCATATAAAGCTTTGTGGAGATGACAGACATGGTGAGGATGAGCTGAATCAACAAACCCAGGTGGTTGGAGCATAAACACCTCTTCTTCGAGGATACCATGCAAGAAAGCATTGGAAATATCTAACTGGTTCAGGGACCAACCATAATGAAGAGCCAAGCAAATCACAATGCGGATAGTGGGAAGTTTTGCCACGGGGCTGAAAGTTTCTTGAAAATCAACACCGGCCTGTTGAAGATATCCCTTGGCAACAAGGCGAGCCTTATGCCGAGCAATAGTACCATCGGAATTTCTTTTAACGCGAAAAACCCACTTGCAACCAATAGCATTTTTAGCAGGAGGCAAAGAAACCAAGGACCAAGTCTTTTGTTTGTGTAAGGCATCAATTTCATCTGTCATGGCTTTATGCCAAATAGGAGAATGAAGAGCTTCCTTATAGGAAGGAGGTTCAATATCAGAATAGAGAGGAGCAGATAGAGGAGAAGGCTGTGGAGAATTAGTATGAATCAAACAATGGGAAGAAGACTTGGATCGAGTAACCATGGGATGGACATTAGACGGAGGAGGAAGAGGTAAATCAATGGAAATAGAGGAAATGGGAATAGGTACAGGTGCAACAGATGGAGAAGAAACAGGAGTAGGAAACTGAACCGGATGAGAAGTAGAAGTGCGGGGAATAGGAACAGTAGCAGAGATGGGAGCAGTAACAGAACTTGGAGCAGCAGCAGAACTTGGAGACAGGTTAACAGCTGGAGAGGACCAGAAGAAAGACTGAAGCTGAGGTAAAGAAGAAATAGAGGAAGTAGAAGGAGTAGGAAGTGTGGCCATAGCAAAAGGAAAAACAAGTTCATTAAACACAACATGCCTGGATAAGTAAACCTTACCTGTCATGGGATCCAAACATCTATAACCAAGAGTGCCTTTGACAAACCGAAGCAATCGCTTCACAGCAGCAAAATGGCCAACAGTGGGTGAATGCATATGTTGGCAAGACTGATTTACAGCAAAGGAAATGTCGGGGCGAGTAATGGTGAGATACTGAAGAGCCCCAACCAAACTACGATAAAGAGCAGGATCAGAAAATGACTGAGCAGCATTACAAGCTAAATATGGATCGTCATCATCATGAGATAGAGTAGCCATTTACCGAACAATTAAAATGGAAACTAAACAGTAAACCATATATTTAAAAAAATTGTATCTAATTAAATAATAAATAACATATGCAGGAAGGGAAGTAAAGAATACCGAATTTTATTTTTTTCTGGCACCACTCGTGCCATCACCAATACTTCCAAATAAACCTATTTTATTACAAATGAAAGAAATACAAAATGATTTACTTTGGATTTAGGGAGAAAAAAATATGAAAACATTTACTCTGGTCTCTGGAATAGATCCAGAGGTTAATTAATATATGCTAATTAAAATAGTGTTTATAAGTGATAAACAAAACAATAATGGAAATATTGAACCTGAGGATCTAGATCAAGATGAAGCGAAGAAAAATAAAATGATATACAGATCAAAGCAGTGAAAATCAAGTGAGAACATTACCTGAAAATTGAGGCAGCATTTCTCGCCAGAGTAGAGAGAGAACCAACCCTAACTCTTTCAAATAACAAAGTGAATTGGAGAGAATGAATGTTATATTCTATTTGTGTGTTATATTCTATTTGTGTGTGTTATATACAGTAATTCAGAGTTGCAACAAACCTATTAATCAATTGGGATGGGCTGCCCTCCACTCCGTTATCGGACTTGAGGGTGCTATTATTGGTCCTGTTTTTATAATTTGAAATTATTTACAGCAATGATAGAGACTCTTTTGTGGAGGATTCCTACAACCCCTTTGTGATTCACACCATTCATGATGTGGACCTCACACATACATGAGTGGGCTCCAAACATCATGAATGGTGTAGATCAGTAAGGGGGTTGTGGGGGTCCTCCACAAAGGAGGTCTGACTCATTTTTCAATTATTTAATGTGTAAAAATTGTTAAGTATTATATGTTTGTAAAATATTATGTTGATTAGACATCAATAATTATTTCATCGGATCAAATTTCTGTCAACCATTTATTTTTTTATCATCTATTTTTTTATACAAAACTGATTTGATTACATAACTATCAATATCCGAGCAACGTGATATTTTATAAGCTTATAGTACTTGACGAGTTCTACACATTAAACAGTTTAAATTATCGAAAAGAGACCTGTGACGGACTCGTTTCCCACATTCAGTATCCTCCAAATTCAACGGGAGAGAAACCGGCCCCTTTTAGAATAATTACACATATTAAAATTACAGTAAGGCTCAGACATACTTTGATGGTATTGTTCAGGATTCAATTGGTCTTGACATCTTACTCTCAAAGATTTAACATTAATCTCTACTGGTAAGACTGCATCGTGTCCATACACCAGGGCATAGGGAGTGACTCCTGTGCTTGATCTTGGTGAGGTTCTATATGCCCACAGAACATCCAATAACAGGTTATGCCAATCCCTAGGATTGTCATCCACAACCTTTTGTATTCCTTTTTTCAAGGATTTATTGGATGACTCAGCTTGACCATTAGCTTGTGCATAATAGGGTGTGGAATTAACAAGGCTAATTCCAAATTCTGCCACAAAAGCCTTCACCATTTTCCCATCAAACACAGTTCCATTATCAACTGTTATGGTTTGCGGGATGCCAAATCTATGGATTAAGTCTTTAATAAAACCAATAACTTCTGTTTGGTCTACAGCCTTGTATGGCTTAGCTTCGACCCATTTAGTGAAGTAGTCAGTGGCCACTAGAATGAAACAATGATGTTTCGAAGAAGGTGGGTGTATTTTTCCTATCATATCCATGGCCCACCCTCTGAATGGCCAAGGCTTCACTACTGCATGAAGGTCAGTTATGGGCACGTGCCTTATTGTGCCATGCTTTTGACATGCCTGACACCCCTTTGCATATTCTATGCAGTCTTTAAGGATGGTTGGCCAATAATAGGAATGCCTTCGAAGCAACCATCTCATTTTTACACCAGGTTGATGAGCACCACAGATGCCTTCATGAACCTCAGCCATGGCTGTTAATGCTTCTTTCGGGCCTAGACATTCTAACAATAAGCCATCTCCCCCCCTTTTGTAGAGAGCATTACCATATATTATATATTGCATAGACTGCAACTTAACTTTTCTACTGGCCTTCGAAGATGGACCAGCCAAGTACTGCATTATTGGATGCCTCCAATCTTGTTCTTGTAAGTCATTATGATTGACTTCTAAGATCACATTCCTTTTATTCAAAGGTTGAATTAATTTCTGATATGTTGTTTGGCTTATGTCCCGTTGGGTATTATCCCTTCTCTTGAAGTTCGAAGCTTTTTGAGCCACATCATTGGCTCTATTGTTCAAGAATCTTGGAACATGGGTTACATTTGCTATTTGAAACTGAGAAAGCAAATGTAATGCAACAACATAATATGGTATGATACTTATGCTTTGACACTTGAAAATTCCTTTCACTTGGTTAACCACCAATTGAGAATCTCCAAATATGTCAACTGCATGTACTTGTAATCCAATAAGAATCTCTAGTCCCACAATTAAGGCCTCGTTTGGGAACAGGCTAATTTAGTAACTTTTTGGCTATTTGGCTAAAAAGGTAGGTAAAAAAAACTTGTATGTTTGGGATGACTTTTTGGCTAATTACGAAAAGATGTGCAAAAAGTAGAGAGAAAAGAGAATCTTTGACTTTTTGGTATGGGTTGTTGGCTTTTTGGCTAATTTAGTAACTTTTTGACTAATTGGCTAAAATAGCCTCTTGCCAAATGAGGCCTTAGTAGAGTGTAGTCTATTAAATATATTTTTTGAAATTGTAGAGTGTAGTCTATTAAATATATTTTTATAATTGCATTTTAATCTTAAATTTAAATAGTGTTGCAATTACAATTATATTATAATCCTAACATTATTTACATCGTGCCTTCAGGCACGGGCATACGCTAGTATATATATATAGATAGATAGATAGATAGATTTATTAGACTATAATTATCACGGTTGATGTATTTTTTGGGGGGTATTAATTACATTTTACATTCATATAATTTGATTCAAATTTCATTTTAATTCTTATAGTTTTAATTTGAATAATTTGGTCCTGACACTTTAGATCTACTTTTAATTTGGTCATTCTATCTAAATTTTTGTTAATTTCTACGTGTCACTTTCAAAAATTAGCAAGTGTTCCAAAATTATTAATTTTACCTTCCAATTTAGAACCAAATTGAAAATTTAGAAACAAGTGTTCTAAAATATAAATTTTAACTTCTAATTGAGACAGAAGAACCAAATTAAAACTATACTTAAAATATAGGAATCAAATTATTCATAACAATGTTGCGCATTTAATAAAAATCCAAACGTAAAATATTTAGTTTTATTGTAGATTTTGGTAGTATGGGTCGTATGGCTCTACACATTTTTCTAGTACTTTTTATGAATACCTAATTCGTTTTAAATTAAAGAGAGAGATAAATTAAGTTAATCTCAATTGATATATTTCTCCGTGTGCCTAAATTAGATTGAAATGTTCAACACGACCTTTTAATTCAACGTGAATGGTATATTTCGATAAAACATGATTATAACACGATGTGATAAATAATAAATAAACATGTAAAGTTAATGTCGAATTTGTAAAACACGAAATTGACATAAATAACTTATTTACTGGTTGATTAGCTATACATTTTAATTTTATTTCAATAAGAGATGTTATGTATA